GGACAGGGTGAGCAGCCGGCTGTATACAAAGGACAGGGTGAGCAGCCAGCTGTATACAAAGGACAGGGTCAGCCAGCTGTATACAATCACAGGACCCTGAGTGAGCCACAGTGCAACTTCATCTCTTAATCTTAACACACAGTATAAATACTTGGGTACTCCAACCCCCCCCCCAACTACCCCCCCCCCCCCCCCCCAATAACTGTAGGGCGAACATCAGGGCACTCGGAGTTGTTGGTTTCAGTTTCTAGATACTCCAATGACGGAAGAAAAGTTTGTGATTAGAGAGCAATGTAGACAGCCTGTCAGGTGTACAAGACTATCTCTCCTCCCCAGAGACATTAACAAATTAACAATTCTCACACCAACTAAACCTCTCCTTTCACAAAAGGGGCCCAAATTTCTGACATCACAAACTCTAGTGCAATTGTATGTGGTAATATTTTCTAGTATTTTCCACTCTGCAGTATAGGATCAGTGACTGCTCAGATGGTACAAACCTTAGAGTGTCCCCTTTATTAGAATTTTTTTTGCCTCTTACGGGTGTGTGTGTGTGTGTGTATTCTGGTCACAGTCGGTATACAAGAGGGATTCCAAAGTGAACCAACGGTCCTGAAAACTAACAATTTATTCCAAAGAAAATGGGGCGAACATCTATCCTATACACCAAACTCCCCGACAGAACTCTCCGTCCCGGAAACTATGAGCTACGTGAATTCAAAACCAGAGTCCTGGGCCAGTCATAGAATACAGGAGGGCCCAGAAAAGCCCACTTGCTCTAGATGTCCTGAGAAATCGGACATCAGCAATGTGAAAGCTAGTAACAGCAAGCTTCCTCAGCTAAGGAGGACTGTGAGCTCTTATCAGTCGGCTCAGGCACGGTCAGCCGAGCCACCCTGATCTAACAATCCTGGACTTTCCACGGTCTCCATTCTTGCACTAGCAGACCATCTCTCGGGTCCCTGAGACACAAGATCGACTCTGGCAGCAGCTCTGTCCTAACAGAGCATTCTCTCCTTACATCATGTGTGCGCCCTCCCCGGAACTGTGGGCAAGCCTGGGTCCGCACAGAACATCCACGTGGGCTTCTCTCCTCCTCCCGCCCAGCTCTCCCCCGCTCCCTGCACGCAGGACCCGCCCACCTGCAGAGTTCCTGAGGCCTGCAAGGCTAGGCTGCACCCGGACCAACCTCCATGTCGAGCGCGGAGCACAAGCCACACTGTCCCAACTTTGAGAACGCCGTAGAGTTTGGAGAAACACAAAAGCAAAATGAACCGGAAGCACAGAGAGAGAGAGTCCTGTCTAGCAGGGTCATGCTGAGAGAGACTACATTTCCCAGAAGTCTATGCGAAGGACTACCCTGAGCCAAAGGCGGCAAGGGTACAGCTGATTGCCCACAGGCTGTAACTGGAATTCGGCTGCTTTTAAAATCTCAAATTTACAAAGAGCTTGTGGAAATGTGAGTCCAGCCTTTAACGACAACATGTTTTAGGTTTCCTTGTTATTCTAATCAATATGTTGTGACTTCAAAAGCTCAGGTGTACCTAGATTCTTATGGCAGCCAGGAAAAAAACCACTTCGACTCAATTTTACTTTTAAATAATGAAGCAAGAAGCTACATTAGGACCCACCACAAACTCTTTAGGATAGTTTTTGAAACCAAGTTTCCTGGAAATGTTCTGAAATCTCAGCTACTCTGGGGCTTGAGCAAAAGAATCACAAGTCTCTGTCCCAAATTCAAAGAACCAAAAGCGACAGGGGCTACTTACTGGTAAAGCATTTGCCTGGAGTGAAGGAGGCCTTGGTTTAACACCCATTATGACACTAAATCAATGAGAAGAAAAAAACCAAAACGAACATTTTTTTTTCCGGTTCCAATGGGGGAGGGGGGTATTCAGGACAGAGGGCAAAGGTGGGGAGAGAAACGGGAGGAAATGGCGGAAAAAAAGAGGAACAGTTGTATGTGTACACTGGAACGCAGTTTGGGGCATGGGCCAAGGAAAACAAGTGTCTATTACCGATAAGCCCCGGAACCCCTTTGAGATTTTCATCTGTCCTTAGTCCCTTGTCCACACGTTCCTCCATTAATCCATGTAAACAATTTAATATTTGAGACAGCTGTACCAGAGCTTGGCTGGATTCTCTTTCACAAACTTAGACCATGTTTCACCACCAGGTTTGTTTCCGTACCCTGAACACTGGTTCACACACAATGAGATTACGTCTCAGATGAGACAGTGGGAAGATCAGATCTGTTTTGTTTCATCACCAAAAGAAACTCATTGTGTTGGGTTTTATGTAAACTTGACACAAGCTAAAGTCATCAGAGGAGTGAGCCTCAGTGAGGAAATCCCTCTATAATATCAGGCTGTAGGCAAACCTGTGGATCATTTCATTTTCTCAAGTAGAGATTGATGTGGCAGGGCCTAGGCCATTGTGAGTGCTATCAACCATGGGCTGCTGGTTCTGAGTTCTGTAAAAAATCCGCCTGAACAAGCCATGAGGAGCAAACCAGTAAGCAGAACCCCTCCACGGCCTCTGCATCAGCTCCTGCCTCCAGGTTCTTCCCTGTCTGAATCTAGCCTTGACTTATTCCAATGGACAGCAATCAAGTTTATGTAAACTGAAAAAACCGTTTTGTCCTCTGATTGCTATTCTTGGTACTTGGCTATATCTGGAATTAACTGGAATCTAGAAATAGAAGGTACACCTATGAGAGATTTTTTTGTTTAAAGTGGGTAGATCCACTTCTAGTCAAGACTTTTGAGGTAGATGTTGGGGGTTGCCCTTGTGCTGTTTGTATTCTGATGTTAATTCTGCTTCCTCAAGAGGGACTCCCCTGAGGAGTGGACATGTACTCATGTGATCTCATGTGAACCTTCTGCCCATTCTAACTGGTCAATAAAGTCTACAGCCTGTGATTGGGCAGTGGAAGGGAAAGGTGAGACTGGAGGTTTTAGAGAGTGAGGGAAGAGTAGGGAGCAAGGGAGGCAGAAGATGGAGGAAGAGGAGTTGGAAGATGGGGCAGAACTACATGGCCCAGAGAAGCTGAAAGTAGCAAGGGATCTCATAATTGGGGAACAGAGTACTGTAGTAGGTAAATCTGCCCAATCGAGGCACACAGCTTATAAGTATTGTAACTGAGTTGTGTGTTTTTGCATGGGCTTATTGGTGTTGGAGATTTATTGTAACAGGTAGAAATGCCTGTTCGCATGCCTCTGATCCAAATCTTGAGGTGGGAAGATACAACTTTAATCTGGACCACACCTTCTGCTGGAAGCCTATATAAGAGCAGTTTTTAACTTGTAGGTTATGTCCCCTTGAGGGTCAAACAACCCTTCTCAGAGGTTGCTTAAGACCATCTGCATAACACATATTTACATTATAATTCATAACAGCAAAATTAATGATGAAATAACAAACATAATTTTATGGTTGGGGGGTCACAGCATGAGAAACTGTATTAAAGACTCACAGCATTAGGAAAGCTGAGAACCACTGCTATACAGACACAAAAGAGGAAAGCTTTTGCTCTTTGACTGCCTGCTGTCACCTAGCAAATCCATTCCCTCATGGGCATTACAGCTACATATTTGGGATTCCAGCATATATTGAGCACCAGCTTGTGGACTGAGCAAACTACTGGAGTCTTGGACTTTCTATGCTCTGCCAGCCAACATGAGATTAGCTGAACTACAGTCTGTAAATCATTTTAATAAATCCCTCCCACCTCTTTCTCTCTCTTACACTGAAACCTAGCCAACTACCCGGTAAAACTGTTCAGTTCTATTCTCAACATCAACAGGATAGCCAACAACCATCTGTAACTTCAGTTTCTGGGGATCCAAAGCCCCCTTGTGGCTTCTGTAGGCAATGCATGCACATAATAAACGGGCACATCCAAGCAAGCAAATAGCCTTATATACAAAATTAAGATAAATCTTTAATAGAAAGTATAAACATAGCAGGGCGGTGGTGGCACACGCCTTTAATCCCAGCACTTGGGAGGCAGAGGCAGGCAGATTTCTGAGTTCGAGGCCAGCCTGGTCTACAGAGTGAGTTCCAGGACAGCCAGGGCTACACAGAGAAACCCTGTCTTGAAAAACCAAAAAGAAAGAAAGTATAAACATGCATCACACGTTTATCCCCCGGTGCACAACTACCTTAGGTAATCACTATTATAGCCCAATGTAAACACAGCACATAAACTCCTGTGTTTACATAAAAAGATTCCATCCATGAGGAATGTCCTATCCTATGGAGACTCAAATTGGGAATGCTGCAATATAACATATTCAATGCTAAATAAGTCAGTCCATGCGCTGTTAGCTGTTGAGAATTACAACCTACTTTCTGGCCTGAGGCTGAGGATCACACTGAACAAGTGGACCTCATGCTCCCTGTGTAGTTGAAGATGACCTTGGTCCCAACGGTCTGTCTTCCATGTCCTAAGTGCTGGGACTATAAGCCACCACCACCATATCTAGCTACCAGGGCATTCTGCTGTTTGTGATGTTTCTTGTTGCTGTGATATCTGACAAGCCACATACTGAAGAAGTTTGCTTTGTCTCGAATGTCGAGGGTCCAGTCCACCACCACAGGAGACGGATGGAAAGATGGGAATCAAGGGGCTTTGTGACCGAGTGAAGTAAGCAAGCAGAGAAACAGGAAGCGCTGGTGCTTGTCCGTACTGTTCTTTTGTTTTTCAGTTGGTCTAGCATCTAGTGCAATTTAGCTTTCACCTCCACTTCATCACATAGAGATGACTTGGAGACTTTCTAGAAGCACTGAACATGTCAAACATGGCCTGACAGATCAACTGTCTCTAAGAGCAGTGCAGTGCTGGATATATCTTTCTCAAGGCTATATCTTCAATGTGTGAAACAGATTAAACACATGAATGTGGACAATGCTGCCCAGCTCAATCAATGCTTCTTGAAAACACATGGAGTGAAAGGTCAGGAGGATAGGGCACAGCAGAGAGACATCTCTGATTTGGACTCAGATCTTTCTGATGAAATCTGGGTGGGTGAGAGCTGAACACCACTGTATACATTCCAGAATAGTTTACCCAAGATCCATAAGGATGGTAAATCATGCAAGAGGCAGGCAATAAAGGGGTATCTGTGAGCTAAGACAGGCCAAGAAACGTGGCTCCCGAGTTCTAACATTCTACCTCTTCCCAATGGGGTATGCTGTGAACACTTAACTCAGGGGTAGGTGTTAGTCCTTCTGGTAACTTCAGTTCATGATTGGTGCGAATGTATGGAGATCTTACTCATTGTGCTTTTTTTTTTCCAGTGCCTCATGAAGAAATGCTAGCATTGAACACAAACAAAACTACCCACATTAAGGAACAGGAAAGAAAATGAAGCCCTGCATTTTAGAGTATCATAGTTAGGGTTTCTGTCGATGCAGAGAAACACTATGACCAAAAACAAATTGGGGAGAAAAGGGTTTACTTGGGCTTACATTTCCATAGTATATTTCCATAGTCCATCACTTAAGAATGGTATGATGGTTTATATATGTTTGGCCCAGGGAGTGGCACTATTAGAAGGTGTGACCCTGTTGGAGTAGGTGTGGCCTTGCTGGAGTAGTTGTGTCACTGTGGATATAGGTTTTAAGACCCACAACCTAGCTTCCTGGAAGCCAAGATTCTACTAGCAGCATTCAGATGAACAAGTAGAACTCTCACTGGGCAGTGGTGCTGTGCACCTTTAATCCCAGCACTTGGGACACAGAGGCACGTGAATTTCTGAGTTCGATGCCAACCTGGCCTACAGAGTGAGTTCCAGGACAGCCAGGGCTACACAGAGAAACCCTGTCTCAAAAATCCAAACAAACAAACAAACAAAAAGTAGAACTCTCAACTCTTCCTGCACCATGTCTGCCTGGATGCTGCCATGTTCCCACCTTGACGACAATAAACCTCTGAACCTGTAAGCCAGCCCCAACTAAATGTTGTCCTTTATAAGACTTGCCTTGGAGCCGGGCATTGGTGGCATATGCCTTTAATCCCAGCACTTGGGAAGCAGAGGCAGGTGGATTTCTGAGTTCGAGGCCAGCCTGGTCTACAGAGTGAGTTCCAGGACAGCCAGGCTTGCACAGAGAAACCCTGTCTCGAATAAAAAAAAAAAAAAGGACTTGCCTTGGTCATGGTATCTGTTCACAGCAGTAAAACCTTAACTAAGACAGGGCCTATCTTCCTCTAATCATTCAGGAAAAGGGAAGTGTGCACAGTCATTGCTTATC